GTAGTGATGACACGAATAGCACCACAAAAGCCAAACGAAGACCACAGCCACCGAAGTCGGCGACCAAGAAGTCGGTGAGAAGTGCGAAGCGATGCCAACTGTTCGCAGACATCGTGTCTGCGGCCGTTTGGGTGCACGGCGTGCGAGCGGACAGTCGTGTGGCCGCGGACTCAGTGCTCGAGATGTTGACGAGACATATGCTGGACGGCTGCACGTGTGTGGCCCTGTCCTCCACACACCTCCTCATAGGTAACACACATTTGGAGCGCTTTCTGCTGAATGTGAAGGACTTCGAGAGGAAAGTGGACTCCGAGGAGAAGACATCGCAGACCACCACTGATTGCAATAATAGCCACAACCCGGCCATCAATGATATACACGTCCAGAAGGACAGCAAATTGGACTCTAATGTGATGCCAGAGTTGGTGGATATGAAGAACGTGTCGGCGCTGTTGGCACCGGTGGACGAAGCGGTTGACCACTGGAGTCTCGCCTTAGCTTCCGATGTGAAGAGCCGCGTGTTGTCCGAAGAGATTGTAGTGAAGATGCGGTTGTATTACAACTTGTATTCAGTGATAGAGATCTACGGCTTCTATAAGCGATTCTCGTCGAGATTTAAAGCCACGAAANGCGTGTTGTCCGAAGAGATTGTAGTGAAGATGCGGTTGTATTACAACTTGTATTCAGTGATAGAGATCTACGGCTTCTATAAGCGATTCTCGTCGAGATTTAAAGCCACGAAACTGTTGAATGAGTTCATCACTCAGTGTTCAAACAAATACTCGGAAATGGCTTTAATTGCTAATTACTATTTGGTCACGAATTACATCCATTTGGGAGCTCTTCGTAAAGCGAAAGCTTCTTTGATTCAAATAACATCTTCGAATTCTGGAAGTGCTTACCAATCAATGCCTGATTCCTTTGGAAAGTCTCTCAATTTGTTAGCAAAATGTGAATTGAATTTAATGAGTGGTCGACCAGAGAGGGCCGCAAAGACTTTACAACTGTTTCTCGAATCGGATTATCTCTTGAAGTTAACTATAAACCGCTATTACATCAAAGGGCTGACCCTGATGTTGGCCACCAAATTCACTTCACAACAGTTTAACTTTTCCAAGAATTTCCGTGAATTCTTAGAACCAATTCAGATGTCTGTTTGCATTCTGAAGCGATGGCATCCCTGGCTTTCCCCCAACAGAGCTAACAATGAGAATGTTATCAATTCTGGAGATGTAGACCCGCTTTGGTACAGGTATTGAACACAAAACAATATTTAAAGGCCTATAGCTTTTCAAATGACTTGAATTATACTTTTAGGTACGGAGTGATGAGCTTTGCTTTCGACGCCCTCACTCTGTCCACCAATTTCTACATAAACATCGAGATTCCCAGCGATTCCTTCCATTACTATAACTCACTCTTGCGATTGGGT